GAAATAAACTGGTTTCATAGAACCAAAGGATGTAAGTCCCCTCATTGAGGACCCATTGGGGGGCCATCATATTAAGGAAGAAAAAGGCTGGCAACATAGCACATCAGGTATTGGGGGATAAATAGAGAAGACCCTAAGAACTTTCAGAGAAAACAAACAACACATAATAGATCAAGAATCAAAATTACATCACACCCAAGACCAACACTAGAAGCTAGAAGATAGTAATTCAATGTCTTAAAAATCCTCAAGCAGAAGTATTTTTAATTTAGATGTCTATAACATGTGATACTCTCAATTAAACATACAGCTGGGCTAAAGAAAATTCCAGATGTATGAGAGCTCCAAAACTTTGCTATCTTCCTTAAGAGTCTACTACCAAAAAGAAAAAAGAAAAAAAAAATAAGTGTTCATTGAAAAACAAGGGAAAAAGCAAAAACAAGACAAAGAGTTCAGGTACCACTGTGATAGCCAACCTGATTCCATTTATGTAAAGTCGAGTGATTCCAGGTGGTCACCTCCCCTTTCCCCCATAGGGAGTCCCTCAGTTAATGCATGACAATGATGCACCCCATCTGATAGAGCAATCTGCAACTGCTATTTTTATGACCTACCCAGTTGGTAGAGCAGTCTGCACCTATACTATCTTTATGACCTTGTAAACAGAATACTCAGCGCCTGTGTGATATTTTGTTTCAATTAATCTGTATGAAACTTCTTCTGACCCCCCCACTAACTTAGCAAAATTCTGCTTCTGGAAGATTCCACTTGCACTCCCCTTCTCCCTGAGCCCTCCTTAATTAAAAGAGCTGCTTAAAAGAACCCCACAAACCACTTTTCCTCCTTGAGAGCTTCTGTGAGCTGCTCAACTCTCCAATGCCAGCTGACAATAAAAGGACTCAAATTTGGCTCAGAATGGCAGCCATTCTCTATAATCTCTAGAGATTTAGTGTAACACTAGAAGATCTGTAGGAAGGAGGTGAATGGAATTCCCCAATTGATAATGAGGGCCAGGTCATGATGAGAGCAAATACCAGGCCAAGAAAACAATGACAGGGATTGGGACAAAAAGATAGGTGTTCTGAATGGGATAAAAGTTGGAAACTTTGCCTTGAAAGTGCAGGGTCCTGAGTTCAATCCCCAGTACCAAAAGAAAAAAAAAGTTGCACTTTTCTGATGAGTTCAGACATTTTAAGAAAAAGGATATTCATTCACGATAAATATTTATTGCTGGAGATTTAGCTCAGTGGTTCTGCTGCCTGCCTTGCAAGTGCAAGGTCCCAAGTTCAATTCCCAGTACCAAAGAAAGAAAAAAGAAAAGAAAAAGAAACAACCAAACACAGTATTTATTGAGTACCTGTTTGAGCCACACCTGTGAAGCCACTTTTTACAGAATCTTCATTCTAATAGAGAAAGATAATAAGTAAATAAACTGTGTAATGTATTAGAAGGCAATAAAGGGAATGAAAAAAAAAAGAAAAAGTAAATTAAGGGAAAGAGGATTGAAATTATTCTAGGTGTGCACTGAGTAAAAATTACATATTAAATTTTTAAATAGAGTAGTCAGAACAGATGTGTAGACCTCATTGTGGCATCTCATCCAAGACATGAGGAAAATCAGAGAATTAGGTGTGTGGATCTGTGGCAGAAGATTTTTTCAGGTAGAAGGAACTGCCAGTGGGGGTAGAGACATGTGAGAGATGGAGAGGAAGAGCAATCTGCAGTGAGGTCAGAGCAGTACAGGGTGGGTGGATATGTTAGATATGGTAGGACCCCATAAAGTAACTCATTGTCATGCTAAAACGAATTAAGTCATTGTTGGAAGAAAATCACTGGCTTACATTTTAAACAGATCATTTGCTGTCATTTGAGAATAAACTATAGGCAGACAATGGTAGAAAGGGGGAGATAATAAGGAGACCATTGTCTTGCCTAGTAAAGAAGCAATTATTGGTAGTAAAAATTATTGGTAGCAATTATTGGTGTTGATAGTAAAGAATATCATAGTACATCAGTTGGAGAATTGAAGGAAGAATTTGTGATAGACACAGGAAAGAAACTAAGTAAAAAAAAAAAAAGCATCAAGAGCCAATTATTAACCAAAGGAAAACAGGAAATGATACAGGAAAAGGTAACTATAGTAGTCTGTGTGACTCAGTTGTGAATAACATTTACACAGTCGTAGCCATGTAAACACAAAATGTTAATTTAACAAAATATGATCATATGCCTATGTTGGAAGGTTATGTGGTGAAAGCATGGCTACCCAAAAAAGAGTTCCTGCACAACACTTTTTAAAAATTCAATTCATATGGGGAAAAAATGAGAACCAAGATCTGTCATGTAAAGGTACAAGATCCCAATGATGAATGTAACTGTACTGTATACTTAAAAACTACCAATAAACTCAATAAGATCAAATAAATAAAAAAATAAAAATTCAATTCAGTAGGAAAATGTACAAAACATATAAATAATAGACAATTCAGAGAAAAAGAAAAGTGGGTCTTAAACAAGTATAAAAAGAAACTAAACTGCCCTTAAAATTAAAAAAATTTTATTGATCGATTTTTTTGAGGGGGGGGCGCATAAGATCTTGCTATGTAACTCACTACATAGCCCAGGCTGGCCTCAAACTCACAGTGATCCTTCTGCCTCTGCATGCACCACCATGCCCAGAAAAAAAAATTGTAAAGGAAAATCAAACTACACCGAGCTGTCACATTTTACTACCCAGACTGGCAAATATACAGAAGTTCGATAACACATTATGTTGGGAAAGGTAATGGGTAGACATTTTCATATATTGCTAGTACAGTGTAAATTTGGTATGCCAATTTCTATCAACATGAAAAAAAAATAGATATTCCTTTCAGAAAGGTCTTGTTGCTCCAGCTGCAGGCAATTTTCAAATGCTAACCCCTTGGCTGCAAAGAGTGGCCCACTGGACATGTTTTTCCAGAGCAGCCCACATCCTATGACGGATATAAAGGTCTTGCCACACTCACCCAGTGCAGGACAACTCTGATGAGTCATTTCAGCTCCACAGCTTCCCCGTGGAGTTCATGAGGCTGCACGGGTGCACCACAGGTCAACTTTAGCCTCTGCCTAATTCCTCTTCCTCTTTCTCCTTTCCACAGCTGTTGGACCCAAGGGCACTCTCTAAAAAACATCTTGAACTCTACATTTCTATCACAAAATCTGCTTCCCAGAGAAACCAATCTGTGATACCTTTGACCTCACAATTCCACTTCTACAAGTTTGCTCCATAGTCTCACATAAAGGCAAAGTGATATATCTTCAAGATTATTCAACATAGGTTATTTGTAGGAGCCAGAACTGGAAGCCATCTAATTATCTGACCACACAAATCAGGTGACTGATTAAATACAGGCATATATACACAATGGACTAGTAGGTAGCAATATAAAATAATGAAAAGTTCTTTACATAGATATATGAAAAGATATTCAAAGTGCATGTGTGTCAGTAGATTTGGGTGTCTCAGAGACAAAAGTAGAAGGGAAATGTTTATACATCTTTGTACTTTTTCAATGTTAAACCATGTGAATGGAGTAAACATGATGAATGGACTAAATAACGAACAAAATTTTTACTAGTTGAATTATTTGAATTTTAAAGTACATATAAAAGTACATACACACAGCTTTCATGAAATAAACATTAAAACTTTTTCATAAAATAAACATTAAATTAATCTGTTAAAAAGAACCATGTTCCACAGAATTACTTCCAACTAAAAAGACCTACGTATATACATGAAGTTTAAACTGTTTTTATAAAGAAAAACTATTAAAGGTTAAGGGTTCCCCAGTTTCTCTCTTGTACTTCATTTTAAAATGGGTGAGGATGTTCATTACCCTTTTGTTTTTAGCTATTTTATTTCCACTTTATAGAGTCAGATGGTTCTCAAATGGTTCTTTGTAATTTTAGTTGATTAAATACTGTCAATAAGAAGAAAAGTGGCAGAATTTACAAACGGCAAGAAAGCTGTATTGCTAGTGTAGCAGTTAATTATAACCCACTGAACAAAATTTATGCCAGATCTGGTCAATGAGAAGACCTTCAAGCTGGCTCCTTATGACAAGGATGAGCACAATCCTTTTGGCCACAGTAAGATGTTCTAGGTCACCTTGTACTGCTCTGCCCTAGCCCTGAAATCAGCCAGTTCTCCAAAAAGCTTTGGTTCCTTTTGGTGGTGACACGGTTATAAACAAAAATCTAGACTAGGAGTCTTTAATTTTGAAGTAAGCTTTAATCATAAAATGAATATATTTGAATTTGTATAAACCATAACGTTTATAGCTGATACAGCTGATTTCCCCATTTCACTTTGTGGTAAAAGAAAAGAGCTATTTAAGCTTTAAAATTATTTTTTCTTATTCAACTCAATATAATTAATTCTGGCCACAATTATTAGGAAAGAAGATTCACTGCAACAGCTAAGTCTCTAGATAGCTACTACAGTACAACATATTCTCAAAAGAAATTTGTAGACTAGGCTCCGCTATAAAGAAGGATAAATCTTGGGCCAGGGATTTAGCTCAGTGGTACTTCTGCCTGCCTCACAAGCACAAGGTCCCAAGTTTAATCCCCCCGCAAAAAAAGATAAATCTGAATCATGTGTAGGAAAATGGATGCACCTTGAGATCATAATGTTAAGTGAAATAAATCAGACACACAAGCTTAAATATCACATAGTTTCTCATATATGAGAAACCCAAAGTATAAATAAAGACCAAAATAAAAGACAGATAATAGAAAACAGGGACATAGGTCTTTTGTAAGTGGGAAGGGACCAAGAGATAGAGGGAGGAGAGAAGAAGTGAGGGTAAAAAAATTAGATGTGCAAGTACCAACTCCCCATGAGGAATGCATTCATCATGTACTGCAAGCATGTGGTGATAAGAACAAAAATTTAAAAGAAAAACAAAAGAAATCTGTGGGCTGGGGATATAGCTCAGTGGTCCAGCACTCACCTACTATGCACAAGGTTCTAGGTTCAATCTCCAGCACTGTGAAAGAAAAAACGAATTTGTAATGAAAGACTGCATAGGTTTTGAAGGATTGTAATCTACAGAACCCTGAAGATAAATATAATAAAACATAGGACGTTGCATTGATTTCATTTCAAACAAATAGAATCATAGCTTTACAGAATTACACTTTTTTTTTTAATGTTCAGATGTGAGTCACGAAAGAGATTTTTTTTGGGGGGGGTACCGGGGATTGAACTCAGGTCCTTGTGCTTGCAAGGCAGGCTACTGAACCGCTGAGCTAAATCCCCAGCAGAGATTTTGCTTTTTACAGAATATAATGTGTTGGAGAATGCTGTGGTAACTCCTCACATCATTATGTATGTGATAAAGGTAGATGAACTAGAAAATGTTTGAAATAAGCGTTATCAATTTCTATCTTAACTGAATTAAATAAAATGCTCGGTCTCTTGATAACAGATGGTTTAACATAATATACCTTTGAATACTGAAGGTAAAACAGAGATGATGTTTTATGTGATGGCACTGGGTGTATAGACCTATTCCATTTCTTTGTTTCATACATGGTATTTAGTATTTGTTCTTAATCCTGTCACTGCATGGGAATCACCTGGGGCTTTTATAATTCAGGCTCCTGAACAACATTCTGGTTCACTGACATTAGTATACAGTATCTTATGATTCAGGATTCAGTAAATTGTATTTTTGAAATATTCCCTGATAATTCTGAAGCATTTGATTATCAAACTGGTTTGGAAACTATTGGACTTGGCAAGAAGATACATATTTTTTTGTTTTTTTGTTTTTGTTTTTTTTTTTTTTTGAGACAGTCTCACTGTGTAGTCCAGGCTGGCTTCAAACTCATGGCAATCCTCCTGCCTCAGCCTTTAGACTGCAGGGATTACAGGCATATACCACCACACCCAGAAAAACGATACAGTACATTTTTACTTGGCGGGGGGAACCTTATTGGAGGCAGTTGGTCCTCTGGGTTTTGAATCTGTAGATTCAACCAACCAAGGATTAAAAATATTGTGTTTGCACTCAACTTCTGCAGACTTTTTTTTCTTTCCATTATTCCTGAAACTAGTGATGGTGATGAGTTCCCACACGGCAACCCAAAACCCACTTATTTATCACAGAGTGCCAACACTGCAATTAAACCAGAATACTGAGGTTTCAGTCTAGAAAGAAACAGTTCATACATTAACATTTTTTGTCCTAAAAGTAAAACAACACACATGCCATAGGTTGGCCACCACTGCCCTAAAACGATACACTACATTAAGTATTCACATAGTGTTTACATTGTTTTGAGTATTATAGAGATGATTTAACATATTCCAGAGTATATTCACATATCATATGCAAATGCTATGCTATTTAATATAAGGAATTTGAGCATCTACAGATTTTGGTGCACAAGAGAGGTCCTGAGAGTATCCTCCCATGGATACTGAAGGAAGGCTGTATATAAGCTACCCAAGGTCTGGAACTGAGCTTATACATTTTTATAAGTCCACCACTTATTATGAGACTTGTGTACAGTAGGCATTCCATTTATGTAATTAAAAAGAATTTTGACTTCAAATATTACTGGTCATGAGAGGAGTCATAAGAGTTTGGACAGGGAGTCATATTAGTTTGTACAGGGGACATAAACCGTGGTTAGTGATATTATATGTTTGCATGACAGAAAACCACCTTGCACAGAAATCTGAAAGACAATATTGGATTAGTGGACTGATTTATAGTACGGAATGTAGCTATGTTCGGTTATGATCTTGAATTCTGCTAGCTTTCTCTATGCTCTTGAAAAAAAGAATATTCAGATTTATGAGATTGGCTAGTCCATAGATTAACTTTCCACCAAATGTTCCACTTGATGTCACAATTAGACAAAAATTACAACAGCGAACAAAAAAAGATTACAATAGCATCTAACATTTATATGGCTTAAAAAAAGTGGTTCTCCAAATGTGGTTAGAGGACTCCTGGGTTTCCTGAAACCATTTCCAGTGATCTATAAGGTCAAGACTGTTTTCTTACTAGTAAGCTTGTATTTGCTTTCGTTACTTCATTTTTTATGACTGTACAGTAGTTTGTCAGAGGCTGTTTATTGTGTAAAATACTTAATTCTGAAAAGATAGTCAGTTTTCTTCTATTAAGCCAGATATTGAAGAAATTTGCAAGCATGTAAAACTGAGCCCTCCTCCTCTCTTGTGGTACTAGGGATTGAATCCTGAGACTTTGCAGTGAGCTACATCCCCAACCTTTTTATTTTTTATTTTGAGGTGAGGTCTCACTAAATCGATAAATTGCCCAGGTTGGGCTGGAATTTACAATCCTCCTGCCTGAGACTCCCAGACTGCTGGCTTTACAGGCATATGCCACCATAGCTGATGCTACTCTCTTTTTTTAAAAGTTATTTTTCATAAATAATATAATGGATTATTTTTAAATTACTAAGTAAACATTAGCAACTTAAAATTTTAATTTTCAATATGATAAATACTGATAGATATAACCCATAAAAGTTCTTTGGAGTCCTTAATAATTTTTAAGAGTGTAAAGTGGTCCTGAGACCAAAACATTGAATAACTAGTGATTTATATTTTTACATGTTATTTAATAATTAGTTCAACTGATTAGTTTTTCATTTGTTTGTTTGTTTGTTTGTTGAGACAGGGTCTCGCTATGTAGTTCAGGCTGGCCCTGAACTCATTATGTAGCCCAGGCTGTCCTTAAACTAAAAGTAATCCTCCTGGCTCACTCAGCTTCCTGAGTGCTGAGATTACAGGCTTGCGCCACCACACCTGGCTGGTTATTTAGTTTTATACAGACAATTTTGACCTAAAATCAAGAATAAATTTCACTAATTCCTAAAAGTTGATTTTTGTTCAATATTTATATATTGATTTAACTTTCATTTTTCCTTGTTCTGAGAAACAGTTGATTTAGTTACTACTTGAAGTTCCTTGAGCTTCCAAAGTATTCTATAGTAATTTCTGACACAACTTGAAATTCCCATCATCAGAGTTAGTGGAATGCTGACTGTCAAGGATTACATGCTAAGATTCTATTCACATATAGGGGGAAATTTTTTTTTAAACAGACTTCTCACTTCAGAGAACAGTCTCAGAAAAGGTACATTTTGGCTGGTGGCGCGTGCCTGTAATCCCAGCACTTGAGAAGCTGAGGCAGAAAAATTGCTGAGAGCTTGAGGCCAGCTTGAGCCACATAGTGAGTTCAGGACCAGCCTGAACTACAAAGAGAGACCCTGCCTCAGAAAACAAACAAACACACAAACACACAAACCAAAATGAAAACAAACAAACAAAAGGTACATTTTGATAGATACAAATCAGTTAAGATTCCTAAGTACTGTAGTAGGTAGATTCAGAACACAATATATTGAAGCACACTGCTTTGGTGCCCTTCAGATCAACAGTGCCTGGCTCCAGCATTTACTTATTACATAGGGGACTTACCCTACTTCCTCACTTGTAAAGGGACAAATGGTATCCATTCCACAGGCTGGTTGTAAATCAGCATTCGGTTGTATGTGACGTGCCATGAACATGATTAAAAAAAATGCTCTTCTTTGGTTCCTGAGAAGAATCATTTGAGAATAAATGGAGAAAATATTTTGCTTACTTCATAATCTAACACCAGTGATAATTGCTTTTTAAAAAAACAATTTTTAGAATTGTATGTGGCTATGCTCCCCAGGCTGGCCTTGAACCCCTGGCTCAAGAGATCCTCCTGCTTCAGCCTTCCCAACCCAGCGCTGAGACTATGGGTACAAGCCACCAAGCCCAACTTGTTTCTTTCTCTATAGCTGTGTTAAACAGGATAACTGTTTAACTTTTATTTTAAAATTCTGTTATGATCATAATATCTTCATTTTATTTCTGTAGCAGGAGAGAAAATTCATCTTCATCCTCACTTCTCACAGAAACACTTTCCTGAGAGAAAAACTTTATTAGCTTAAGGGGCTAAATTTTGCAACAGTAAAGGAAGTGATGATGAGGTTTCTAAATCCAATACTGCTTCAAAATTATGAAATGGGGCTTTCTTTTATTTGAGAAACCCAAAATATAAATAAAGCGCAACGTCAAAGATAGATAATAGGAAACTGGGAGCTAAATGTTGTGCAAAAGGGAAGGCAACCAAGAGATGGAGGGGAGGGGAAAGGAATAAAAAAAGAATTAAGATGTGTATGTACATGTACCAATTCCCCACGTGGAATATGATCATTATGTACTGCAAACATGTACGTACTAAAAAATTTTTTTTTAATTTAAAAATCCAACATGAGTTTTGGTCAAAAAAGGAAAAAGGTTATGACATGGATAAATTTTACGAGAAGTTTAAACTTCTAGTTTAAAAGGCAGTTCGAAACAGTTCCTCACCTTACTATGGTCCAGTTTTCTTTTCACTCACTCTCGTTTTTTACTTAGCGAACACTAAAACGGACACCAAGCGGAAGAAGGCGGGCACAACAAACTACGCCTTTGCCCCTCGCGCAGCGGAAAATCAGAAGAAACGCCCAAGGGCTTGTGGGAGACCTCCCACTTTCCCGCCTAAGGGGAGGCGGGGCGGGGCCGAGTTCGGGGCGTGGCTAGTTGCTCCCCCGCCCCTCTCCTCTTAGTTCTCCCCCCGCCCCGCTCGTTTCACTACGATCCCGACAGGCCCAGCGACTAGGAGAGTCACGTGAGGGTGGGCGGTGGAGGGAGAGGCTGTCCTCGGCTGGCTCTTCGTCTCTATGGTTGTCAGGGGTGGGCGGCTTCTACCCAGGACCTGCTAAAACTCCAGCCTGAACGGGTGAGTCCAGAACTCTGAAGGGTGTGGGGAGACGGCCATTTAGGGAAGGCGAAGAGGGTGGCAGAACAGCTTTAGGGACCTGGCCTCCGGGCCAGTCATTTGTCTGGTTGGGGGATTCGGCGACTTATCGGTACCGGTGGGATAGCTGATTGTGACACAGTCAGCTCGGCGTGCTGAGAGGAGACCGCAGTCCTGCCTGCTTCCCATTCCCGGCTTTCCTTTACCTCACCCGTCCCCCGTCCCCGTCCCGGAGAACTCCCAGTGCCGGGTTCCCAGTCAGAGGATTCCCTGAGCGCTGACGTCCCTGTGCTCGCTGGCGTCGAGGGGCATAGGTGCCTTGATGTTCCCCGCGAATTGTGGATGGTTCTGAAGCGGGAGCGAGAGTTTAGGTTGGATCTCCTGTAGGGAACTATAAATCACCGACTCAAAAAAGTGGAAAATCACTAGTGCTTTGAAGGAACAAAACGAAGTATATGTTTCTCGGATTGTTCAGATTGCGTTTTCCAGCGCCTCTGGTTTCTCGTTCTCGCAGCCTTGACTCTCCACTTGGCAACACTTCTTTCTCTCTCTCTCAAGTTCGCTTCTCACCATCCCATGCTGGGCCACTTACGATGTTCTGAGAACAAGCCAGGTATTAGTGACTTTATGCGAATGTTGAAAGAAGACTTTAAGACAGACTTCGTCTTGTCAGCTCTGTGAACTTGGAGTTTATAATTGCTTCTTTTTTAGATACCTGAAAAATATTGTAAATACCAAAAACATAAGTAGAATAAACAAACGCTATATCCAAGAGACAAAAGTAAAATGTTTTATTCTTCCTGGCATACCTCGGAAAGACGGATTTTCTTCTATTCTTTTGTAAATCGATGTTGCTCTCACATCTTTTGGGTGGTTTCTTTGACACCTGTGCCTTTGTTTACATTAAAACATCCTTTTGGATCAAGTGTAGACTTGATCTGGTTATATTAGAAAGGAGTTGACAGATAAGGTGAAACAAGTTTGGGGCTGATAGTTTAGGAGAGTTTTGGTTTCATTAAACTGTATGACAAATTAAGAGTTCAGCATCTTGAGACAAAAATGTTGATCGGGATGACTAACTTGATGGATTTCTGGTGTAGGCAAGGTAATACATTTGTTGAATATTGCCTTACCCTAAAAATTTTAGAATGTACTGCCACTTGCCTAGGAGCTAGTCTGTCTCCTTGCTTGATAAGTCTGATTATCTCTTCCACTTATAGGATATTATGCTGGCCATCTACTTATATGAAGAAAGTGTCATTGATACCTGGATGTCGTACTGAGGGTCACAAGATACAAAATAATAACAAAAAGCATGGATTCAGAAATAGCTTGTGGGCTAGGGATGAAAGGGAATGAGTGATAGGAACCAATAAAAGCAAGAGAACAGTGTTGTACTCTATAGAGTATACAGGAAGACACCAACAAACATAGCCTTTATCACTCTCTTCCTAGATAGTCTGTAGAGGGTTTACTAAATTCAGTAAACTTCTTTGATTTTTGAGATTAGGTCACACTGTGCTGTCCAGGCTATCCTCGAACTCCTGGATTCAGGCTATTCTCCTGCCTCAGCTTCCGGAGTAACTGAGAATCAGATGCCTGTCACCATGCCCCACTTTATTCATGAGACCTTTTTATTCCTCGAAAGCATGCATCTTGAGACTGATTTTTCTATATTAAAAAAAAAATGACATGGTGATTTCTCCCATAATTCAATTTTATGTAAAACAATTATAAATGAAATATTTAACTGACCAACATCTTCAGAACTTATTTATATATGTATTTCCCTCAGTACTAGGGACTGAACCCAGGGCTTCATTCATTGCTTGGCAAGTGCTCTATACTGAGGAACGTCTCCAGCCCTTTTTATTTTGAGATAGGATCTCACTAAATTGCCCTCAGGCTGGCATTGAATTTATGATCCTGCAGCCTCAGCTTCCTGAGTAGCTGGGATTATAGGTGTGCACCATCATGCTAGAATAGGACTAATGTATTTGATAATTTTTTAAATACAATTTTCCACTTTTAAACTTCAAAGTTAGTTTAACCTCTTGAGTGTTTTTCTCATGGCTGCAATACTTCCTATACATTAACCATTTTCCCCATATAGAGTTTTCAAATATATTCTTTTTTACATGTGAACCAGGTTTTTAAAAATTTAATATTCACAACTTTTTCCCTCACTCAAGATAAAAATAGCTGTATTTTGTGCCAAAAGAAAAATAGTACTTCTTTTAAGATAGATCTTATATTTGCTTTGGTAAGTTATAAGAAAATTGCTAGTGCTTTTAGACATTAAATATTAAAATCAGTATGTTTGAGAAGAAAACATGGGGATAGTATCTTTAAATGTTTTATATTTCCTATTATAAAAGTAATATGTGCTTATTTTTTTAAAAAGGGGAAGCTGGGCATAGTAGTGCATGCCTGTAATCACAGGCTGAGGCAGGAGATTTGCTGTGGGTTCAAGGCTAGTCTGAGCTACGTAGTGAGACCCTGTCTCAAAAAAAAAAAAAAAAGGGGAA